AGGTGTCATATTACACCCCTACCTTGCCATAACGGCCACCTCTCTACATCCGCCACTTCCCTCTGTCCCCGAGGTGTCCGTTGTTAAGAGATTCGACTGTATTTACAATTTACCTTTAGGTTTGTTTTTTTTTTTCTCAACACATGTACATTTCGCTCATGAATAGAAACCTAAAGTAGAATCCAGTGCTGATTCTTCAGCACCCAGAAGAGGAAGACGCCCAGGGAGAAGAGACGCTGAAACTGCGGAGAAAAAGAAAAAGCCAGAGGATGTTCGTACCGAGTGCACCACATGCAAACAGAGTGGAACTAACGCTAACCTTGTCAGGTACAAATCAACGTCTCTTACGTGACGTACGTTTTGACGTATTAATAGAGTGTCTTGGCAAACCACGGCGGCAACGGTGACGAGAACGCCACCAAACAAAAAGTTAAATGAGCAGAACAATGGCCGTGCACGGGCGTTATAAATCTTTGTACTTTTCCGTACCGTCATCTGAACGACCAAGTTCTGCGTATTTTGGAGAATGAGAGCGACGGCGGCTAATTTTTCGTATGTTCATTCGGAATTCAACGCCGGTGTTACATAATTAGTTTGAGCAAGTTCTGAGTCCAATAGGCGCACTGAACAGTTCTAGACACTTGTGAAATTCGAAGATAAAATATAAATTCATTTTTTACTAGGCGTTGTCCTCGCGGTCGCCGTCGTCATTGCTTAAGCTCTGTAATGTTTGTTATAAGACATTTTTTTATAATGTGCACAGCTACCTTCATATAAGCAATTTATCAGTTTACCCAGAGACACTTCTAAACCAAGAAGAAACAAGGGTGGTAACGATTATGAAAAATCCAGGCTTATTTTTTCAAGATACGCTGTCCTGTACTATAGTTTAATATTAGCTGAAATTCTGCAATCTAATTTTCCGTAATTTGGGGAGGGTGAATATACGAAAGATCATATATTTGAACTGCGGAGAAAGATATGAAGACATAACTGATCATCTCAGTTATATACTCAACTTGAGCAGTTAGGAAATTAAAGCCTGAAAAAGAAAAATCGGCTTGAATGGGATTCGAAACCATGACCTTTGCGATACCGGTGCAGTGCTCTGCCAACTGGGCTATCAAGCCAACTGGGAGCTGGCCACGTTGTGAATTTGTAATATACCCGTAGATGGTGAAGTTACATGTGAATATATGAAATATCATATCTTTGAACTGCGGAGAAAGATATGAAGATATGATTGATCATCGCAGTTGTGCACACAACTTAAACAGTTATGAAATTAAAACCTGAAAAAACATTTCACAACTCCTTAAGTTAGGTATATAGCTGTGATGATCAATCATATCTTCACAAAGGTTTGTTTTATGATTTCTATGAATACATACTTTCTTGATGACCCATGTTGAAGACTCTCTTGTCATTTTTGAACCGGCTTTATTTTTCGCAGGTGTGACAACTGCAAACTATGTTACCACTTCCACTGTCTTGATCCTCCAGTGAAAGTAAGTAATATTTTAATTCGCAGTGATTTGTACTCATACTTTGTTATTGATGATATTCGAAACTAATATGAAAAAACTATGGTTTCAAATGTTTTCGCGATTTACTCTCAATCAAACATTCAGAACTTTCTTATTCTTTTATATTCCACTTGCCACCCACCATAGTAAAGATACTGGTTTTAGCTTTTTTATATAACAAATCTAATTCGCACAAACCCTCAGTTTTATTGACTTTTGAGGTTTCTCGTTAATCGTTCCCATGGATTTAGTCATTGCCTTTGAAATACATTATACTAAACTTCAGTCTGTACCCAATAACTGTCGCTACAATGAAGAGAACAAAAACTTATTGAAAATGCTTGGTTTGGTCCAGAAAAAACGGCTCCTTCTTGATGTAGAAGACACAGTACACGTCACTAAGGAACACTTCCTCACAAACCTATTGTTTAAATTATTTTCCTCATTCTTTTGTCCTTCTGTCCACTATTGTTTTACGTCAGCTGTGTCTTCTACACCAAGTAAGAGCCAAAACAACTATATGGAAACACGTCTTAAGCTTAACTTTTCCTGGTTGTTTAGGCCAACCCCAAGACACGAGGATATCAGTGGGTCTGCAAGGACTGTGATGAATCGGTAAGAAAAGCTCTGTAGCGAAGATTACTAAGTGTTACCTGCAAGGGCGGGGTGGAACGCACTTAGTGCCCCCCTGAAGGCAGGGTAGGCTTGGTGGAGAGTTCGGAATGGTCCTGTGCAGTGTGGGATAGAATGTACTTAGTGGCCCCTGTAGTGTGGGGTAGAATTTTCTTACTGTCCCCCTAAGGGGTTTGGGCCAATACGAGTTTGTTCTCTCTTGGCCGGTCACGTGTCGAAGTTACACATGGGTCTCATTGAATGCTTTACTTGCAAAAAAATTCAGACGTTTTTAATTCCAGACAAAAAAAGTGTCCGAAAACTAAACCGTCCGAAATATTTACAGTACGGTATAAAATATTTAAGTAGCTCCAAAGTTCTTAGTTTCCCTTATGAGGCGAACTCCAGTTGAGACATTGCTTGAGCTACGTAACGGCTTGATAGAATTTGTGTTGTATTCTCGTCGGTATATCTCCAAAACCTTGAGGGTGCAGTAAAACTATCATTTTCACAGATGCTACTTCAGTCTAATTCATGTTTTGTAGGTGTAAACTTACGTTACCTATGTTTCATCAGTGCCGAAATTTTGGCCGAAATTTGTCCGAAATGAGATGCTAAGTGTCCGAAAATTGAGCGTCCGAAATTTTTGGCAAGTAACGTAAGTGAATGCTGAGAAATGCTTGCGATTTTAAACTAGCTGGCTTCATTAACTTCACCTCGCATGTGTATCGGACCATTATGAAAAAACAATTTTTTTTTTAATTTCTTCTTTGTTAGGAAGGAGAAAGTGAAGATGCAGATGAGGAAGACACCAGTACTGCTGATAGCAAAACAGAGAGAAACATGAAGCAAGAGAAAGATGTCAAACAAGAAGGCAGTGAAATACACGGACAGAAAACAGATGGAAAGAAAGAAAAACCAAACGATATTGAACAGAGTTCGTCTTGACAAGCCCGGTGCAGAAAGACAAGAAGGCTATTGCTTGAAAGAACACGACCTTTTCATTACAGGATCTTTAATTATTACCTAGTTGAAGTTTTACAGAAATCAAGTTAACGTTTTTGATAGAAATAGTTTATTGACCACAGACTTTTAATTCAGAAATTCAATTGAATATTGGTTGTTAAATAACTAAATTGTCAAGGAATATATGCTATATTATAATTATCGTCAATACATTGACTTTGATAAGGACGGCTGTGTTTGTTTACGTTCTACACTTTGCTTACAACAAAGACATGTTGGATTCCGAAACAGAATGATACGGCATCAGAACACAGAATGCAACTGAACGGCTGAAGATCGTTTTTTATTCCCCCGTCAAGAGCGCTCTACTTAGTTATGGTTTAGTTTTTAGATGTCACAAACAATTTTCTTTAGTGAAAGTATTTTCAAGCGTGTAACGGTTTGGAAACAATTATTTATATAAAATACCCAAATTTTGTTTTTGTAATATCACCTTTATAGATTGTAAGAATATCTCCCCAAAGGTCCAAGCTTGTTTAAATGTCGCTCCAACTTAGACGAAGTATTACTTATTAAAACAAGTTAAAATTGAGGTAAAGGTTAAGTCTGCATGCGAGCCAGTGGCCCATCAGGCCGGAGCTTATCCCGGTTTCTGTTGCATGAAGTGACTAGGAGTATCTCTACTCCCCCCCCCCCCCCCCCCCCCCCCCACCCCTGGATGGGATGCTAGTCCATCGCAGGGTTACCCCCAGCATTAAATTCCCCGGTGCCCATTTATACACCTGGGTAGAGAGGGACACTGTGAGAATGAAGTGTCTTGTCCAAGAATATAACACAATGTCCCCGGCCAGGGCATGAACCTGAACCACTCGATCCGGAGTCGAGCGCATTAGCCATGAGGCCAACGCGCCTCCCGACGAAGGACTTCCCGGAAATGACAGATCATTTTCTCGCGTACCATTTCGTGATCTAACATGTTTCTGTCATTCCATTGTTTTGTAGGTTACATCACGTCGATCTATTTCCCCGTCAATACACTTCTTTGTTGTTATCATTCGTGTTTTCTCGATATAGACAACAAACAAACAAGACCAGACAAGATTCTCTTTATTATATTTTCTTATATTTCTCAAGTTATCTACGGCTTCCGTCATTTCATTGATTTTTGTAACGTTTTTCCAGAATTTTTTTTATCTTAGTTATGAGCATGTTTCTTATGTTAATTTTTTTAATCTGCATTCAATTCATGGCAGTCATCACTCTTGTGATTTCGATTTGATAAAAAAAAATTATTTTTATAGATACCGTATTTCTAAACTTACTAAACCAAATTTGTCGTTGTGTTTTTTTCCCGTTCAACTCTTGTGGTTTTCTTAATTTTTTAGTGGTGGTTAACTTGTCTTTCACATTATTAATTAACCTCAATTCTGATTTTCCTCCATTCCTTTCACCTCCGGATCAACTGAATCAAGCCCAATTAAACACGTGAAATGTGTCTCACGAAATCAGCACAGCATGTTAATGAGCCAAATACCCCCTGACTGAAATCGCTTAATGGGTTAATAACCTAAAATGGGCTCCTGACCAATTCTAAAACGACACATTATCTCCTGTCATTTTTCTTTCGGTTCAATACCCTAAACGGTTCCACAAAAGCGTCCACTGTGGACCTTTTGAGGCTGAACACCCTGAGAGATACCAAAACGGCTTTTTTAACCCCTAAAAGTTACAACAAGCACCCCCGTCATTTTTATATGGGAGTTCTCCCCGGGGTTACAAAGGTGAGGAATGTGGCCTGCGCCTCACGAATCCGAAGTACGCATAGGAAGTTGTTGCCGAAAATGTTTTTGTTGGCAGTTGAGACGAGTTTTAGTGGCCGTTGTCGTTGTGAAAGCC